CTTCCGGCTAAGGGGCGAGACCCTGTGGAGATCCTCATCCCCAAAGATATCACTGACCCGCTCAGTCTCAACACTTGCACTGATGAGGCCCATGTAGTTCTTGCCTCGCCACTCAAGATTGGTCGAAAGCGCCATAGACACCGGGGACCTCACCACCAGCAGCAGCAGGCGCCTGGAGGGAGTGACAGCCACGCCGCCCTCCCCACTGACCCTCTCACCCCCTCACTCCATGCGGAGGGTGCCACCACGCAGCAGCAGCAGCAGCAGCAGCACAGGGGCCAGAACCGAGATGCCCCTCAGCCCTATGAACTCAACACAGCCATCAACTGCAGGGATGAAGTTGTGTCTCCCCTTCCATCTGCCCTGCAGAGTTTCTCAGGCTCCCTTTCTGCCCCTCCAGCTGCCTCAGTTACCTCTGCACCCTCATCTTCCTCCTCCCGACATCGAAAACGACGCAGGACTTCCAGCAAGTCGGAGGCAGGGGCTAGGGGTGGAAGCCAGGGTTCCAAGGAGAAGGGCAAAGGGAGTGGGGGAGGCCGTCATCACCACCCACTCCCTGCAACTGGCTTCAAAAAGCAACAGCAAAAGTTCCAGTATGGGAATTACTGCAAGTACTATGGCTATCGCAATCCTTCCTGCGAGGATGTGCGCCTTAGGGTGTTGAAGCCGGAGTGGTTTCAAGGCCGGGACGTCCTAGATCTGGGCTGCAATGTTGGCCATCTGACCCTAAGTATTGCCTGCAAGTGGGGCCCAGCCCGCATGGTGGGGCTGGACATTGATCCACGGCTTATCCACTCTGCCCGCCAAAATATCCGACACTATCTGTCTGAGGAGCTTCGTCTCCGAGCCCAGACTTCTGAGGGTGACCCAGGGACAGAGGGGGAGGAAGGGACTACCACTGTCCGAAAAAGGAGCTGCTTCCCAGCCTCACTGACAGCCAGCCGGGGTCCCATCGCTGCACCCCAAGTGCCCTTGGATGGAGCGGACACATCTGTCTTCCCCAACAATGTCGTCTTCGTCACGGTAAGAGAATCCAAAGGCTCTTGGAATAGGGTTCAAGTGTGAAGATGAGATTAAATAGTAATGTGTTGGGGGAAAGGTCATGACCTAGAGGTGTATTCCTGCATCTGTTCCTCCTACAAGAACCATCTTCTGGAGAGAACAGTCTGCATTGGCCAGAGAATCTCTACTGGGTGTGTTGTCTATCCTATAACCTGGAAAGTGGGATCTCTACCTGCAGGCTCTTAACATCTGGTCTTATGACTACAAGGATCTCATCCCCAATACAGGGGCTGACTTGTCCTGCTTCCAGTGGGAACTATACCAGACAATCCACCTTCCCTTGAGGGTTACCTCTACAGCTCTGTCCAGATGGAACCCTGTCCTCAAATCTCCTGAGGGAGCTTGAGATTGGGTGTCTTTGCGGGAGGAGGAGACTGGCACTCCAGTATGTGTAGTTTGGGGCCTTTGATAGGGACCTTGTTGTATGTATCAGCTGCTTTTTGTTTCCCTAGATACAGGACAGACTGGGTCAGGAACCCAGTAGGCTTGGCTTTCCGTCTTTCCCGTGCTGACTCTGAATAGCAGGAGAGGGGCGGTGAAGGGAGGAAAGAGTAGCCAGCCTGACAGAGCATGTGTCCCTGTCTCTACTAGCTTCTTCCATTGAGCAGTTAGGCCATCCAGAGGAACATGTGCCCATGGCTTATCCTGAAAACATGTCTTCCCAGGGACTGGGAAGAGAAGGTTTCCTGGGTTTTTAATTTCATTGAAGAAATAGACCTGAAGCATTAGCAGACCCTAGTGGGAAGAACCTCAGTCTTTAGGACTGCTGCCTGTGTATATGAGGGCTGGGTCTTGGGAGCATTCCAATATTCTTCAGTTATCCCTCAGATAATTAGTTCAATTTAAATCTGCCCAGGCTCCCTTTTAGGTTTGTTTGGTTTAGCACCAGGAGGAAGCAGAGGCAGGAAAGGGAGAAGAGACCATGAGACTGACAGAAGGCGCTGTCGAGAGGAGCCTCAGAGAAGAAGGCCACCAAGGGCCCAAGTGAGGTTGTGTGTAGGACTTTGTCTCAGAGTCTGCAGGTGGTTGTGGGGCCAGTGGTACACCTCTTCCTTTTGTGACCTCTTTCCCATCTTCTGGCCCTCAGGGTAACTATGTCCTGGACCGAGATGAGCTGGTGGATGCCCAAAGACCTGAATATGATGTGGTGCTCTGTCTCAGCCTCACCAAGTGGGTGCATCTGAACTGGGGTGACGAGGGGCTGAAGCGCATGTTCCGCCGCATCTACCGGCATCTCCGCCCTGGCGGTATTCTGGTCCTGGAACCCCAACCATGGTCCTCCTACTGCAGGAGAAAGTCTCTCACCGTGAGTTGGGTTTCTGTAGAGATAGGGGATAATCATCTTTTTATTTTACTGTGGATTAAACCCCAGACCTCACACATAGCAGGGAAAGTGAGCTATAGCCCCAGCCTGTTTGTTTGGGGGGGGGGATTTGTTTTGTTTCTAGACAGGGTTTCTCTGTGTAGCCTTGGCTGTCTTGGAATTTGCTCTGTAGACAAGGCTGGCCTTGAACTCAGAGATCTGCCTGCCTCTGCCTAAGTTATGCCAACCACCCTCTTTATTTTGAGACTGGCTGAAGCTGCTGGCCTGAACTGGCTCTGTAGTGCTGCAGGCTGGTCTTGAACTCTTCATCCTCCTGCTTCAGCCTTCTAAGTACCCGACATGACTTGTATGGCTTGTACCACCATACCCAGCTCAGACTTTCTGAACAAAGACAAAAGGTTGTCATGCTTGGCCAGGAAAGAGAAGTAAGTTGAAGTAATCCCTCTCCTATTTCCCCAGGAAACAATCTATAAGAACTACTTTCGAATCAAGCTGAAGCCAGAACAGTTCAGTTCCTACCTGACATCCCCAGAGGTGGGCTTCTCCAGCTATGAGCTTGTGGCCACACCAAGTAACACCTCCAGAGGTAAGAATGGCTCTACTTTGTCTCTGGGAGGAGAGGGTGCTGGCTCTGTGAAGAATCTCAAGGTCCTACCCACCTGCCTTCTGTATGTTCTTTAGGCTTCCAGCGTCCTGTGTACTTGTTCCACAAGGCCCGTTCCCCCAGCCACTAAGTGGCCTTCTGGACAGAAGGTGTGAAGAGGCTACCCTTGCTGCTCCTGAGGACCTAGGGAAGAGGAAATTATCCCAACCAAGGTCTTTCGTGTCTGGCTCCAAAAAGTTTCCTTCCTTGGATCTGTAAAGAGAGCTTTTCTCAAGTTGCTTCCCGAAGTCTTCTCCCTGACACCTCTGGCACTTGAGCAAGCCCAGCTGTGCTGGAATTACATCGGCTTCCTCTCCGAGCCTGCTGGGCTGGATGGCATGGACTGTTTGCTGACTCTGTCCTCCTAGGGCATGGGAAGGGGGAATGTCAATTCTCTAGGCCCTTCCTCCTGTTCTCCGAAGGAGATTCCTGCTTCTCAGCCTTTGTTCCTAGCTGCACTTAAGTGGACCATGGATGGACTAAGGGTGTTAGAGGGGAAGTTTGGTAAGGAGACACACAGGTACTGTGAAAATCCTTCCTTCTGCTGTCCCCCGGTGGGAGAGGGAGCTGGGTTTGGAATGTGAGAACAGCACAATAAACTTGATAACTAGGGCCGTGGCCCCTGCACCTGTGTGTGGCACTTTCTAGTCGGTTGGTACCTCTTAGAAGGATTGTGTGGTCTCTTTGCCCATCCTAGAGGCTCATGAAGATGGATTTTACTTGCTGGTTGTGGTGCACTGGCTCTTTATCCCAACACTTGGGAGACAGGCAGGCTGACTGAACTCTTGAGGAGGTTTGAGGCCAGCCTGGGTGGGCTACATAGTGAGATAGAATCTCATGGGACTGGAAGACTGGTTGGTATCTGTCTTAGTTTGGTTACTGCTGCTGTGATGAGACACCATGACCAAAGAAACTTGAGGAGAGAGTTTATTCGGGTTATGCTCCCACATGTCAGTTCATCAAAGGAAGTCAGAGCAGGAACTGGAGTAGGGCAGACAAGGAGCTGATGCTGGAGCCATGAAAGGTGCTGCTTACTGACTTGTTCCTCACAGCTGGCTTAGCCTTTCTTAGAGACCTAGCTACCAGCCCCAGGGATTGCCCCCACCCACAATGAGCCAGGCCCTATCCCCATCAATCACTAAGAAAATATCCTATAGACCAGGTAGTGGTGGTACACACCTTTAATCCCAATACTCAGGAGGCAGACAGGTGGATCTCAGTAAGTTTGAGGCCAGCCTGGTCTACAAAGTTAGTTCCAGGACAGTCCCACAGAGAAACTTGTCTTGAACCCTCCCTGCTCCAAAATAATACCCTACAGACTTGTCTATAGCCTGGTCTTACAGAGGCATATTCTCAGTTAAGGCTGCCTCCTGACGACTCTAGTTTGTGTCAAACAGACACAAAACTAGCCATTACCCATACACACTGCTCAGGAAGGGGGTGGGGGGTACTGCAAATTTTGGTGTGTAGCTTAATAATGAGTCCAATTTACCTTCCTCCAAAAGAAACCCCAGATAAGTGTTTGTGTATGGGAGTGTGAGATGGAAGGCTAACTTTGGAGGGCTTTGGCAGTGGGGGGGTAAAGTGGAGCTAAAAATGGATAATAGCCAGAGCCACAAACCTGCTCCAGGACCCGTGGGGGAATAAGATGCTGGGGTGGTTTACAAAAGTGAAGGTCTTCATTGATTTGTCAATGGTTGCTCTAACACTGAATAAACATTGAGCACTTTTGTTAGTCAGACAAAATCAGCAATACTCAAATGAAACAGGCAACATCTCCTTTAAAGCAATTATTTAATGTTAAAACCCATGTTTGGGTAAATACTTTTTGTTCAGATGTAAATGGATAGCCAGGCTTAGTGGTTGCATGCCTTTACTCCTAGCACTTGGGAAGTAGAGGCAGGCAGATCTGAGTTCAAGGCCAGACTGGAATACACGAGTTCCAAGACAAAGTGTATTGGAAAGTGCCACACACCAGAGCTATACAAGCAGACACATTAAAAATTGTTATTATAATTGAGGCAGAGTTGGGGGTGCTTTTTTTGTTGTGGTTTTTGAGACGGTATCCCCTAACTTAGTTTGGCCTGGAACTCCTGCCCCTCCTGTCTCTACCTCCACAGGTGTTCACCACCACAGCCAGCCAAAGTGGCAATCTAAAGCACTCTGACTATATTGTTTGTGTGTACACTCGAACATGCTTAACCATACACTACCACTGAACCTACCGGCCTGAAACCACACTAAAAGAAAGCGTTTGTGTAGCTCAGACGCCTTGAACACAGGATCCTTCTGACTTGGCCTCCCAAGTCCTGGGACATGGCACCATGATGTAAGGCTAAGTCTCAAATTCTAATTATAATTAAAACAAGGTTATTTAAATGGAAAGTCTGACCCCACTTAGACAGTGCTTTCTGCTTGTCATCATTGAGGGGGTCAGAAAATTCCCACCTACAGGCAGCTTCCAACCAGGAGCTAAATTGCTTAAAAATAAAAAAACTTTATTCTACGAGGAAACAGTTTTACCAAAGTACTGACTAGCAACGCAGGGAGTTGTGAAGGCTATGCTTCCCAGCGCCTCAGCATCCGATGCATGAGAAAGGTGTCTTCTGAAGGGCGGGGCCGGGCTTGAAGCCTTAGCGGGGGCAGCCCGTCCACCGTTAGGTGCGGAAATTCGTAACACAGAGAGTCCGGGTTGCACAGCACCGTCACGTCTGGCCCCTGCCCGAGCACCTCCTGTGGGAGGGAAGGCGAGGCCCAAAGTAAACTTACACTGCGGAGGGAGGAAGAGAGCCCAGGTCCCCGGATCCCTTCCCCCCCCTTCGGGGGCGGGGCCCGGGGCGGCGGCGGCGGCGGCGGGGGGAGGACTG